GGAGCTAGATCCGTCTTTGGAAACACAGGACATGATCCAAGAACCCAAATCCCATCCCCAGCGCTGGACCACGCAGACTGGCCACAGTCATTGGTTAAACAGGGTAACGGGGCAGTCAAAACAGTGGGGGACGGGGTATAGAACAGAGATGGTATCATCTCACTCAGGCCCAGACGTATGTTCTGACCTGAATGTCCAGTGTGGATGCGTCCCTTTAATTCCTTGGCCAATGGTACCAGCCCTCTTTCCTGTATGACGACACCCTAGCCTGACGATACAGCCTTGGCCCTTGTCACCGGTCCTGTCCACACCCACCAGCAGTGGTTTCCAACGCCATGATCTTCAGCCTCATTGGCTGCACGGGTTACTAGACTCCCACCCTGACAGGGCCCTGGTCTGTGCTGACTTGTTCATTCCCCTTCTCTCTCATGTGCTAGGTCACTTTAAGCCATGTTCTCCTCTTGTCCTGAGGGGGAAAATAATGTGGAAATAGCCACTCAACCTGGATCCGGTTCCCTACATTGTCTTCCTTTTATTGACTGTATCTGACATGGAAGCCAAAAAGAAAAAGAAAGAAGGAGAGACAGAGGAAGAGGGACAGCCCATCTCTCTCCCCCTAAACTGCACAGAGGGGTTACCTGCCAAGACCCACTTCCCCGGGAACTGCCAGAGGTCAAAACTCCTCTTCTCCAGGTGAAAATGAGAAATGAAGACCTCCTTAGCTCAGTCCCTATGGCAATGTACTTTCTTGTTGTCAGTATCATCAGTTGACCGAAACATTTTAAGAAAGGCTTCTGCCCCTAGATGAATTTTAAACGTACTGACTGGCCTGCTAGAAATTGCTGGTATCCTTGATCCTTCTGAATATTCATATTCTCTCTCTCTCGGATATTCTCTCTCTCTCTCTCACACACACACACACACACACACACACACCTCACTCAGTTGAGCAATGTCTTCAGAAGCTGAATGCCAAGTGTACCTCAACAGAAGCATCTCGGTCCCTAGAGAAGCATCATTTCATTACAGAGAAACGCGAGGAGTAACTGCATCTTCATTTCAGAGCACGTGCTGGCAAGGTGAGGAATGCCACTAGGGGCTTTCCTTCTTCACAAGACAGCCCCTCTCGGTGGGTGACCTACCTTCACTTTCCTGCCAGGGTCCCCACCTTTTCCCTAGGTACGTTTTCCTGGGGTCCTCCCTCTCACACACTGGCAGCATCCCTCCAGCCTCAGCCATCACACAACCAGCTCCTGCTTACCTGCGGGAAAGTCCCGGCTCACTGTGGTTGGCTCGCTGAGTTCAAAACAGGAAGGGGGACAGGAGCACTGTTCTCCCGGTCCCTGCAGAAGCAGTGCCCTCCCTGAACCAGGAAGGACCAAAACTCAGCTGCCTGAAACCCAACACAGGTGGTTCTGACACAGGTGGCTCTTGGGTTTCAATCAAAGACAGAGCTTTGTCAACCTTACTGTGCTAAGACGTCATGGAGCAACAAAAAGATCTGGTTAAAGTGCGGATTCTGACTCAGTGGGTCTGGATGAGTCTAACTCCCTGCTCCTCCCCCCACCCCCCATCCCTCCGTGAGGTGGACACCACTGGTCCATAGCCATACTTTGAGTGACAGGCTTTAGGAAACTGTGATGGAAGGTCTCACTCTCCTATGTGTGGTCCCCAGGCCAGCACCACCGGCATCCTCTGGGGCTCTTTAGAAATGTAGCTCTAGGGCCCCACCCCAGACCTGAGACATCAGAATCTGCCGTTCATCAAGTTTCCAGACAATTCTATGCCCATTAGTTTGAGAAGATGACCAAGGAGAACTTCAGGACCGGCTTCTCAAAGTTGTTTTCCACAGAATGGTCAGAGGGGGCCAAAAAAAAAAGCAACTTTTTTATTCTAAGAGATTTGACACAAACATTAAAGGTCTGCCTGGGTTGGAGGGAACAGAGTAAACTATTTGGAAACGAGCCTCTTCAATCCCAGCTCCCACCCTGCAAGACCACATAGGACAAGAATTCAGCTGCAGCTCCACAGCTCTGAGTGTGAACCGCTTACATTGCAGCCACCTTTCTTGGTTTTCATTACTTCTCTATGATCATTAGATCAACCAATTTGAGGACCCTGCTGTAACCAATAGAATGCCACAGTTCTGGGGGCAGGTAGTTACATGGTGGAGGAGGACTGATAAACCCTAGTACCCTCAGTCAGAAGGAGAGACGGAGCCAGGCGCTCAGACCACTGGGCTCTTGAGAAGACTATAGCTGTTTGACCTTCAGGGAGACCTGGAAAGGGCAGATGTCCCCACTTTTATAAACTCAGCACCTAGCAAAGCACAGGACGCATTATAAGGAAAATTTAATCAATAACAGTTAAAGGTGTTTACTTGGAGATTTAAAGCACTAACTTGCTAAAACTAGAGGCCAAAAGAAGACCAAGAAACAAGAGGAAATGAGAACAAAACCTACATTTAAAAAGAAAAAATTGAAATTAAATTTTAATGAGAGAATCAGGCTCTAGCAGAATCTGGGATCATGAGGAACCCTCCTCATCTCCCCCCCCCCAAAAAAAACAAAGCAGTTGTCTCAGTGAAATATGAGGTACAGGCTCTGTGTTTCCCTCAGTGTTGTTTTCCCAGGATTCTGTTGGAGAAAGTGCTTGCTACAGACCACGCTCGCCTTTGTTGATCAATAGATCAAGGAGCAGTCAAAGGAGATGGGAGCATCCAGGAAGGGACGGCGCTGGCACTGATGAATGTGGACAGGGCCAATGCAAATACTGCGTTCAATTAGCATTTTTGTGGACCGAGCAGTTTCTGAAAACTATTTTTCAAGCCATGGAACACACGGAGCATCTGGCTCCATTTCTGGAAATACTTCTGACACCACTGCCTCCCGCCTCCAACCAGTCCCACCCCAACTCACTTTCCATGCCTTCCTCGGGCTAACTTTATATCTTCCCTCTGCTTTACTTGCCTGCGTGAAGGCTTTAAAGTGCGGTAATAACCACAGGCCCTTAGTTGAGTCCCTACTATGTGCCAGGCACTGAACATGTCTTCTTTAATCCTCACAACCATTTCTGTTTACATATGAAACAACTCACTGATGCTCTGAGAGGTGGAGAAACCTGTCCACCAAGGTCACAGCGCTTGTAAATGAAGGTTGTAGAATTCCATCCTCTCCTCTCCAAAATCCACATTCCCCTGGCTGTCATTCTATCCCTGTAGCCATGTTCCCTCACTTCGGTCTCGTCTGTCCAGCCACTATGCTCTGAGTAGCTCTTACTTCCTACACCTACTTTGGGGTAGGCACGTATGGCTTTCATTCCGGCTTTGTTCATCAGCGATCTCATCCCTCCACTGGGGTCCCCTGTTGCAGACACCCCTACATTTGATAACCACCACTTCAGTGCCTTTTCATATAGGTTTTGTCTTGAAGTTTTTGAATGTTTTCTGCAACAAAATATATACAGTGGGGCTTAGGAATTAAAGGCAAGCCTTCTGCCAGTGTTCTTTTATGTTCAGAAAAATCAGGAAGGTTAAGGGCAAGCCCCAAAGGATGGCCACAGGCATGTTTATAACAGCCGTTTCCACATTGGTCTGTTTTGTTAGACACCAAACTGTCCGTCCATTGCAGGTATCTATTGGTAATTCCAATACTCAAGCCATTCTGCTAAAATGATGACGAATGGCACACTCATTCCAGCACGAGCCGCTCAGCTGCCACGTACAGACAGGAGCTCTGAACACAGACTGTGGCAGAGCCTACCTTAGGGCAGGTCCACTTTCAGAGCCAGCCACTCACACCGAGATATAATCCATTATCTTTCATGATCACAACGGAGGGACGGTTTTTAACTGAGAGTCAGCTGAGGGATATCTTGCCAAGTAAAACATTAAGGATCTATCACCAACATCGCCAGATAATTGGTCTTGGGGAAGGAGGAGCCTTCCTGTGATGAATGAATATGCTGACTTGGTGAGGAATCACCATTTTACTGGAGGACCTGCCTGCGTGTTTTCTCCCGAAGGACCCATAACACCCTCCTTGCTGCCCCCAGCTTCAGAAGGGGGCCTCCCAAAACTGTGTTCATTGACAACAGACCAGGAAATAGAGCCAGATCTCCAGAAGAGACACCTGTGATAACAGTCCCCCCTGAAAAGCAGCCCACGGGGTCTGCTTGTCTCTCAGCGTTGAGAAAAGGGGAGAACTCTTCCCTCAAGTCCTCAGTTGGAGAATATAGTTCTTTTTACTCATCACCACTCATTGAGAGAGAGAGAGAGAGAGAGAGAGAGAGAGAGAGAGAGAGAAACATACATCGAAAGAATCATTGACCAGTTGCCTCCTGCACACTCCCTATTGGGGATCAAGCCCGCACCAGCCATGTGCCCTTGACCAGAATCGAACCTGGGACCCTTCAGTGCACAGGCTAATGCTCTATCCACTGAGCCAAGCCGGCTAGGGCTAGGGGATTTTTTTTAACATAACTTCCTAACAATAAATCCTCCGGCAAAAAAGTTGCCAAGTTCATGGGTCCTCTGCCGGCAAGCTCACAGCTCCTGGTTGGACAGGTTAAACACAGTAAAGGTCCCACATGCCAATTCAGGGGACTGTCCCTAAAAATCCAGAAAGTTTTCATTCAACTCCAGGAAAAAGAAATGAAAGGAAGGATGGGAGGAAAAAAGGAAGGGGAAAGGATTGGAGAGAGAGGGGAAATAAACTCAGCAGAATACACATTTCCAAAACGAATGGACAAAACTCAACTAACATATATTAACCTTTATTCTATAACAGAGACATAAATAATTTTATGAATTCATATGATCTGTACAAAAGACAAAATAAGATATTGCACTAAGTTTTGATATGGGATATTTGGATTTCATATCAGCTAACAGATAAATATATACAATTCAAGGAGTTAAGGCAAAACCAGATGATACTTCAAACACAACAGAAGGTATAACATAAGTATAATTAAAAACATAAGTATAATTAAAAGTATAATTAAAAACAAGGGCATCCCATCACCTATTAATAAAGTGGTCATGGCTAAGGGGGAAAATCCCTTAGATTTTTAATAAGGTGATTATCATCAATCATGTTAATTAAAGTCGAGCAACAAAGTTAAGATTTCTGGTGGAGGAGAGCGGTTTGGGGAAGTTTGGGGGTTGAGCAGGTAGAACTCAGGTAAGCAACTTTTTCCTTGTCAGATTTATGACCTATTCTTCCTATTAGAAAATATAATTTGGAAAATATGACTCTTTCACATATATAATTAAAATAAAACTATGAAGCATTCTTTTTTCAAGGGAAGTCATGTTGGGAATCTCATAGGGTAAGTTTGCGGACAAGCCATTCATTACCCTATTGGTAGAGAAAACACAAAACCAGTCACCGCAAAACAACTCCCAGGTACCTACACTGAACAAAACAAACCGAGTCCAAAGGAATAAGAACACGCGTGACCAATGTACCAACACAGGTAAGCTCTTTGGCAGCTTCGCACTAACCATTGACTGAAGTCAGAACTCTTGCATCTTCTCATTCTTAGACCCACTCGCCAGTCTTTTAAAAACAAATAGATAAAATTCCACATCTGCAACGAATTCAGTAATTCCAGGAAATTAAATTCAGAAGGAATCTGCAGATAGTCTATAACGGTTACACGGACGCACAGATAGGAATTGTCTGCCGAGTCCTGATCCACACATAGGGAGCGCAGGCACGCAAAAGTAATCGGTAAAGCTGGATTGGTCCGGACAGGCCTGGGATCCTGAAAGAGAATCCATACTGACCCATGAAACCAATAAGACATCACTCCGAGGATGAGAAAATGATCTTCCAATAACTCAGTGGTGAGCCGCCCCTCACCTGGTGAACGCCACGGAGAAATGGATTCTATAGGGGGAACACCAGGAAGCCCGAGAACGTGGAATACTGCCAGCCTCCGACCAGGTTACCTTTCTCCAGTTTTAGGTAAACCTTATCCTCCTTATCCAGGTAGAGCAAGACTCCATTGGTGGCGGCTTCGCGAGTAACATCTTTGTCCCCAGCAAAGGCAGATATTACCGGTTTTCCATTTAACATCAGGTTAACCTACAAGGAAAAAAAAGTCACTAAGCTCTCCTTAAAGTCAAAAAATTTGCTAGGGATAACAAATAATGCTCAAGGGGAAATATCTGATGTTTAGTAAATATATCCCTTTCCTTTCAAATCAGCCAAGTGCAGTGGCTAGACTTAGTATGCTGCTAAACTCGGGGTGAGGGCTGTTCAAAGTCAACTTGAGTTTCTTCCATAGAAATGCCCTTAAATGCCTACAAAAGAGTACCATCTGTGGAGAGCAGCCTAGCCATGTGAAAACTGGCTACCCGTCACCTGTCACTTAAGCTCACTACTTTATTTACCTCTGAGATTCATTAGCGATCTGTCGGTAAGGAAGCAAGCCTGTAGCTTCCCAGTCTGTTAGTAAAAAGAGGCCCAGCTCCCTTCACCCTGATAAACCAGACATAGCAAAGCTCTACCAACTTCTGGGCGGGTCACCATGCAGCCGTGACATGCATACTGTTAAAAATCATCTTAAATCATGGACTGTGTGTGCACTGTGGTTTCTTTTTCTGTTTTCCTTGATAAGAAACATGTATTTAAAATAATAATCACCACAACCATTGAAGATTTTAATTAGCAAGAATTAATAATTAATAAGCTCAAAATTATTAACAAATAATCTCAACATGTATTCGCTTTTCTTCATATTACAATTTTGATCATACTGCATTAAACATTACACTAACTTCTAAACAGTGTGGTTTGGAAAAGCTTTCCTATGGCAGTGAATTTGTTTTCTAGCTGTTCATTCTTTTTACGTTAAAAAAAATACTGAATAAATTAAATCTGAGGTTGATCAATTTATTCATTCACTAGGAAATGTAAAAGTGGTAGATGAGTGAATCTATCTTTCACATGGACATAGCATGAAGTACAAACATTGAGCAAAAGATAACATGTTCCTAGAATTCCACAGACATGTGTTGGTGTCATTGGATGTTCTCACATCTAAACATTATAGGAACTAGGCCCATGGTTGCCTTTGAGTGTAAGCTCAAGCCCATTACAAAATATATTACAAGCCCATTACAAGCACAACACAAACTATATTGTTAACTGAAGTTGCAATTGGTAAAAATTCACCAGGATCAGAGTAACTGAAGGTAAACTGAAGCATAAACGTAGCACCCACTTATTTAAAAAGTGTATCAAATAATTGTTAGTTACTCAGAAATGTATTCTTACTAGTAAACTGTTTCTCCTAATTCTTAACAATGATAGCAAATTTTTTTTTATTTAGTAAGAACTTGTAAAACTCTACTGGCCTTACAAGTTCTATCCCTACAAGTTGAAATAATTTTGCACCTGCGCTAAATGAAATCAAGATCTTATAAAGAGATTTGTGTCACTGAGTTTTTACTAAGCCATGCTATTTTTCCTTTTCATTGAATTTATTGGGGTGACACTGGTTAACAAAATTATACAGGTTTCAGTTGCACAATTCCATAACACATCATCTGTACACAGTATTGTGTGTTCACCACCCCAAGTCAAGCCTCCGTTCATCACCATTTATCCAAAGCCATGTTTTTTAAATGGTTGGTTGTTATTAAGGTAACAAGTTCAATTGTTTATTTTTTCTATATATTTCTCATCACATGCCTTAATAGAGGCTAGAAAGGAGAAGATTAGAAGTTAAGTGTTTTAAAAATAAACTACTGTGGATGGTTGTTTATTTTTACAGTGACAGCACATATTTGGATAAATACATAACCCACGACCAATAAACACTGTTGTTTTGGGGATAGAAAGGGAACAGGTCAAAACACATACCTGGATTGTTTGGCTCTGGTAGACTTTAATTACGTGAAAACTGAAACTGTAAATTCCTTTCCTTGGTGCTACAAAGACAGACTCCAGTGTGAAAAAATTACCCACATTTACCAGGATCTACAAGTAAAAATAATAAATAACAGTAAATTATTATAATATTTTTTTCTGTAAGTATGTTTCCTTCCTTCCTCCCTTTTCTTTCTTTTTTTTTTATTTTCCTAATCCACAACTAGCTTAAGAAACCATAGAGAATAAAACATTGAGTTCTATTCCTTTCCTCTTTAGCGACTTGAAAAAAATGGATTTGTATATTGGAAGGATCTTCTGTCTTCTAAATGGTAGAGGAAAATATAAAGTAACAGCTTTGTATTCATGCCTCAATTTCCAGCAGGGCCCGATGGCTCTGGGAACATGTAGGTAACATGTGAGGGCTTATGGATTTATCAGCTGTACTTGAGAGTCAGATAAAAGGAACTTGCCATGTACTGACATTCCCACCCTCTGCAAGCCTTCCCAGTGTCCAGAGGCGGTGTTTCCCACACAGCCAATCCGCATCCATGGGCTCCCTCCAGTCCTCCCTGGACACACCACACAGAGCCTGGGCGCCCCCTCCACATGTGCCGTAATCCATGACACTGAGCAGCTGGTGCACAGAGTGATCTGGAGGCCGGCCCTCCCCGGAGTCTCCGCCAAACCTCTCCTGAGAGCCTTGGCCGTTTTTTCATCTCTGTGCCATATAGGCCTTAATTCTATTTTGGCAATGACTCAGCTTTTACGGGCTGCCACAGAGGAGAGCGTGAATCAGAGCAGACTGTGACCTAGGGGGCCTTCTGCTCCTCCCAGGGTTGGCCGTCACCCTCTGATCAGCCACCTGCTCTTTATTTAAAAAGTTCAATGGTCAAAAATGAAGCATGAAATCAGGTACTGTTCCCAAAGAAAGCCGCAATACATCTTGTTTTCGAAGACGCTCAGTCTGGATCTACTGGTTGCGAAATGAACTTTGAATTTCAACAAGTGACCTCTTAAACCAAATTTGCAAACATCTCATAGGTAAGTCCGAGAGAGAGAGAGAGAGAGAGAGAGAGAGAGAGAGAGAGAGAGAAGAAAGAGAGTTGGAGTGGGGGGGAGAGTTGAAGAATAACTAGGATTTCTTCCATTTCTCCTCAAGAGATAAATCTATAAGTGGCATTCAAAAAAAGCAGATGTCCCTAAAAGACACATTTCCCCTATATCAAAGGCAATCCGCTACTATCTCTTTTAAACAACACATTCATGCCAATATTAACCCTTTAGCATAATTCCCGAAAGACATACTTTTACCTCTGAGAACTGCACTAAAATATAGTGATGGTCAGGCTCAATCCCTGACTTAAACTGCATGTATGTGGACAATGTTATTCTGAGATTTCATATTCTTCTAAGTCAGCACCAGATTTCTTTCTCAGACCTGATGATCGAGGATCTTCTGGCAGCAAGTCCCTAGCCACACAGTCATCCCCAGCAGACGCTTTACACAGATTTCGCCCAGCACATTCCAAGTGATTTGAGAAACTTAGTGGGGACTTCCTGAGTCGGATACAAGCAGCATACATCATTGGGAATAAGGGAAACGTCTGGTGAGTGTTGACTGCGCACAGGCTGGAGGTTGATGCTGTAATTAGAGATCCAGGCACATCGAGATTTATCACTAAATGTGCCTTGTTGTCTCCAAGACGCATGGCTCCTGACCAGAGGAATAAGCCTCTCTCCTCTCCTAATTGATGGACGGGTCATTGGGAAGAATGCACTGTGCAGGACAGTGCAGTGCCCACAGCACCCAACATTTAATTAATGCGCGGGAATGCAAGCCAGCAGAGGGTCTAGCCTTGGTTTCTGTCAGGATGGAAAGCACTGCACTCCTGAAGGGGCTGCTGAACTGTGGCTATCCCATAGGAAACCCCAGAGGCGCCTGGTCTGTCTCCGAAAAGCGGGAGAGTGCTTTGCTAAGGAAACATTAATAAAGAACCTCCTGTCACCTTATTGCTTCCCTAGCACCTGCGAAGGCAGTACCTCTTCACCTGCGCTCTCACACATGTGGCTTTTTGTACAACTGTGGGCTACACATGTGACTTTGAAATAAAAAGGTTCTGGGTACAGTTAGGGTGGAAATTAAAACCCCGGAATCAGTGTTCAGTGATGACTCCTTGCTAATGCTGAGCTGATATCCTGGGGGGTTTTCATTAGCCAAATGTCTGAGCTCCAGTCTCTGAAAAGCAGCCATGGATTTCATCAGTTCCTCCACCATCCCCTACCTTCAGCCCCTAAACCGGTCCTTTCCCAGCAATTTGCAATTCTCTGAAAGGACAGGCCGGGAAGGGAGAGCCAGTGGCCCTCCAGGCTTCCCTCTGCCGCTCTGCGCAGCTGCCCAATTCCTTTCCCTCCGCCTCGGCAACTTTTCTGCCAGCGCCAGGGAAGGGCTTCCCCTGCAGCGGCGCCTGCGACGTGTGTGGGGATCCCAGCGGCCAAAGGTGAGCGAGGCCGACCGTGGCCACTGCGCACCCTCTCCGGCCACCTGCAAGATCTCTGCAGAGTGCCCACCCACCTGGGAGAAGCAAACCATTTACCTTGCGTGTGGAAAGCCCCAAGGGACCGCCTGTGGGCACCTGCAGACAGGGGTTGGAGGCAGAGGCCGGGCTCTGGCCAAGAGATTGCAAAGTCCAGGCACCAGACTCCCACCAGCTCCTTGGACCTGTTGCTGCTAAACTTATCCTGAGCTCTTGCTGCCCAGCCCTGTGTTCCCAGCCTTTGTCCCGCTGCCCAGCAGCCTTTCCCGGAGGCCAGGGGAGAATGGGGGCGCAGGGGCTGGTGTGGGAGAGACACTGGAAGTTTCAGTCCCAGGCATATTTGGGGAGGCGAGTGCCTAAATGATCCCCCACATCCCAGTCAGATGAGCTCAGCAGGCAGCCAGGTCTGAGCCGCTGGGCAATCCCCGCCCCTGCCCCCGGTGCCCCACATCCCTCGGGATCTGACCTGATCGAAGTAAATGATGCGCGTCTTGTTGCTCATCTCCGAGGGCTCGTGGTTGGTGCTCCGCACCGCAGAGAAGGCGACCTTGGAGTTGGCCGCCCGCACCGAGATCCCCAGAGGGGAGGAAGAGGAGCCCTTGGAGTCCGTGGCCGGGTTCGAGTCACACACCACCAGGCATTTGCCCTCCAGCACGATGGGCTCCGTGTCGTTCTGCGCCCAGACGGGCAGCGAGGGCAGCGTGAGGGCCAGCAGCACGGCCGGCACCACGGACAGCGCCCGGCGCGCCGAGCCCATGGTGAGCGCGAGGGCAACCGCAGCGGCTGGCGCTTGGATCGCCTGCGTCGCCTGCTCCCGGGGACGGGCTCGGAAGATGCCGGCGGTTAGATAGACAGCGCTGCAGGCACGGCGGCGGCGGCGCTCTCACTTCCACCGATTCTCTGGTTTGAAGTCAGAGTCTCCCTCGCGCTCTCTCGCCAGCTCGGTTACCTTTGTCCTTTAAGGAGCTCATGCAGAACCCCCTACCTCACCCTCCTCCGCCCCAGAGTCAGCCCTGCCTGGGGCTCCTTCACCCGCCCCCCTTGTTGCCAGACATCTAGAAGTCTCCAAACCCTCACATTCACGCCTCAAAGGGGAAACTGGCAGTAAATGCTCACCCCAAACCCAAGCACCCCCTGGTGAACCGCGGATCAGGAAGAAAGAAGAGGGCTCAGAGAGGCCACGGGGCGGTGGGCGCGGAGCAGGGCTGAGGCGGTCCTGTCGCGTCTGGCCAGCGGCAGGGACGGATTACAGCGGCGGAAGGTGTTTCCCCGGCGGAGAGGAACGCGAGGCTGTGTTCATGGCCCAGACACAAGCGGCTGCCACTTTTGCTTGGTCAAAATTTCCCCACAGCTCGGTGTGGCTCGGATGCCGCAGGTAGGCAGCGGCCAGCCAAATGCCCAGCTCGGAAGCGCAAATGTGCAGGATTAGTTCCAGGTGCAGGGTGGCTGGGCTGGCAGGGTCCTCTCCTGCCTGTGCCGCACCCGCACACCACACGCCCAGAGTCCCTGCGCGCAACTTTCTCTGTCCTCCGCAACCAGGAGAGCGCGAAGACTGAGCGAGCGCGCTATTTATAGGAGCGCAGCGTCGGCTGGCGTTGGTTTCCAGCTCAGCCCGTGGGCTCCGGGGAAAGGGGGAGAAGGAGTCCTGTGACCCGATCTGAGCAGCTCCCGCCTGGCGCTTAAGGCATCCGTAAGCAGGCGGGTGCGCCGGCTTCTAGTGCCAGAGTCCTAGGCCACTCGGCCCTGGGGAGTGCGCGGCGCCAGGAGCGTGTGCGCAGGGAGGGGCG